GTGAGCTGAGATCACGCCATTGCACTCCAGCCTGGGTAACAAGAGCGAAACTCTGTCTCAAAAGAAAGAAAAAGAAAAAAAAAACAGAACAAAGGAATAATAACCATGCCTTGGATTAGCTGTGCAATATCAAAGAATGATCTGTTTGTTTATATTAAAACATGTTTTTTTAAAATGCAGTAAGAACAGTTCATATACTGGTGATGAGACCAGGAGTGAAATATTATGTTTAGGATTCTTGGTACAAATTATAGTAGTAAAATGAAAGAGAATTGTAAAGCGTTGGTCTCGTTTCCTTTGTTTTAAAGAGTCCCAGGTCAAAGTTGTGGCCCTGTGTGCTGGTTCTGGGAGCAGCGTTCTGCAGGGTGTAGAGGCTGACCTTTACTTCACAGGTAGGAAGGACAAGCTTTAGCTCTCTCTTGGTTTATTTTTTGCAAAATCAAAAATGGCAGATTTTAGGACAGTACCTGGCACATAGATGATACCTAATTAATGTTTTTTGAACCTGAACTAAACAGGAACTACAACAGAATTGGGGATGTATTGTATTATTTGTAGAGGGATGAAATCATTGAACAATTTATTAAATTAGCTAAAAAATTAAGTCAGCATTTATTTTACCTACATTCTTCCTAAAGTGTCCCAAACCTCTCCGATTTCATGTCAGTGGGTTACTTTCTACCCTGTTACCTTAGCTAGGAGATGGTTCCTCTTACTCAGCCTAAAGCCAATCATCAGTTCCTATCAATTCAAGCTCCCAAATCTTTCTAGAATCTTCCCCCTTATCTCTCTATCCAGGCACCATCTCCTACTTGAAGTATGCATCAAGCCTCTACTCTTATCTCCCATCTCTCTCCTAAAATTAACTTTTGAAAGTGTAAATTTGATGGTCTTGATTAAAAAGACTTCTGTGATTTCCTTCATCTGTCTGGTGGAGCCTGAACATCGCATCCTCTTTCCTGTAGCCTTTGCTTATGCTGTTTTCTCTGGCTAAAATGCCTTTTCCTTGCCCCTTTCCTTGTACTTCTAGTGATAAGTGAACACCCCCTCTGAGAAGCCTTCTCTGACACTGTCCTGCTTCTGCCTCTCATGGGTCCCTATTACTTTGTCCTTGACCTCCAACGTGCACTTCTGTTGGAAAGTAATTATTTGTCTGGCTGCTGGGCTTTACAATCTATTCTTGAGGATACTACCTAATAGGTCCTGGCTGATTTTTATTGAAAGAATTACTTCATGTAGTTACTACTCAGGAATATGGCCAAACATGTCCCATTACTCCTCCAAAGGATTTGGAGGCATTTTAAGGGGTTGCCGCCTTGTTTACCTGCTCCTCCTTAGGGTTAGGAAAGAATGAGTTAGGCCGGGCGTAGTGGCTCACGCCTGTAGTCCAAGCACTTTGGAGGCCGAGGGGGCGGATCACCTGAGGTCGGGAGTTCAAGACCAGCCTGACCAACATGGTGAAACCCCGTCTTTAAAAGAGAGAGAAAAAAAAAGTAAAATATAAGAAAAAAAAAAAAAAAGAATGAGTTAAAGAATTACTTTTTGCACTTTGAGGACCAGGCTCTAGACTCTTAGCCCTCTGTCTGTTCCCTTGGCTACTTCCATGACTCCCTTGCCTCCCATACCCGTGCCTTATTACATAGCACACTCTGTTAAAGGCTGCTGTACTCAAAGCATTGTCACATCCGGAAGTACCGAGGAGCAGCATCTGAGCAAGCCTGATGGAATTGCTCTAAACCAATAAATTGATTAAAAAAAAGAAAAACATGTATGTGACTATTAGCTATTTTCTGTCCTTCTGAAGATAAAAGATTTTTATAAGCCCTTAAATTTCTACCAGATTAAAATCAAATTTCAGTATGAATATCTTACAGTATTGTGTCTGGCTATTTTAAAATTCATTTTAGCATTTTACTTAGAAGGAATTTCAGACATATGCAAAAGTTACAAGAATAGTACAATGAACTCCTGTATGCTTTTCACCTCAGTTACTAATGGTTATATTCTGCCATATTTGTACATTCTCTGTGTACATGTTATATGTCTGTGCATGTATAGATATATAATATATAATATACAAGTTAAAATGTTTAATATATATTGATGTGTTTCCCCCAGGACCATTTTGGAATCAATTGCAGACATGACAGTTTCTTTACCTCTCAATATTTCAGTGTGTATAGTCTTCTAAAAACAAAGACATTCTGGGCTGGGCGTGGTGGCTCACACCTGTAATCCCTGCACTTTGGGAGGCCGGGGTGGGTGGATCATAAGGTCAGGAGATCAAACCATCCTGGCTAACACAGTGAAACCCCGTCTCTACTAAAAACACACAAAAAAACTTAGCCAGATGTGGTGGCACACACCTGTAGTCCCAGCTACTCGGGAGGCTGAGGCAGGGAAATCGCTTGAACCTGGGAGGTGGAGGTTGCAGTGAGCTGAAATCACACCATAGCACTCCAGCCTGGGCTGCAGATCGAGACTCTATCTAAAAAAAAAAAAAAAAAAGAAAACGAACAAAGACATTCTAAGACCATTGAACAGTTATCAAATGTGGGAATTTAATACTATTAAAAGTTGATATACAGTCCATATTCACATTTTCCCAATTGATAAAAATTTATAGCATTTCTTTTTCTGATCCATATCCAGTCCATGATCTCTCATTGCATTTAGTTGTTATCTCTCTTTAGTCACTTTCAATCTGGGATAGTTCCTCACCTTTGTCTTCAATAGCATTGACATTTTTAAAGAGTATAGGCTATTTAGGCTGAGCGTGGTGGCTTATGCCTATAATCCCAGCACACTGGGAGGCCAACGTGGGTGGGTCACCTGAGGTCACGAGTTTGACATCAGCCTGGCCAATGTGGTGAAACCCCATCTCTACTAAAAATACAAAAATTAGCTGGGTGTGGTGGTGCACACCTGTAATTCTGGCTACCTGGGAGGCAGAGGCAGGATAATTGCTTGAACCCAGAAGGTGGAGGTTGTAGTGAGCCAGGATTACACCACTGCGTTCCAGCCTGGGCAACAGAGTGAGACTCTGTCTCAAAAAAAAAAAAAAGTATAGGCTATTTGTTTTGTGCTTCTCTCTCAATTTGGGATATCTGATTATTTTCTCATAAATACTGTTTTAAAAACTAGTTTTTTAAAAAATGATAAAGTATAATGATATGTGTATAAGATAAATTCAGACAGTTCCAAAATGTTAAAATGTCTTTCCTATCTGGCTGTGGGGAAAAATAGAAAATATATTATCTGGCTAGCATTAGCTGTCTCTGGTCTGTGAGGCATCACTTTTGAGTATAACTTCAGGGATGTGCAGCCCTACCTAAAGGACTTCTGCTGAACTTCATCACCCTTCCTCTGAGCCTGAGGCAGTGTTCCCAATGTATTAGGTTGTTATGCGTAATACCCTGCAAGACCAGCAGATGGGGATCCTGCTCCTTGCAAATATAAATTCTCTTGTCTTTTCATTCTCCATTTGCTTCTTCTTTCCCAAGCTGCCGTCCTGGGCCAAGCTTTTCTTTCCTTTGGCTTCAGCTACTGTTGCAGGGTCTTCGCTGATTTCCCCCCTTTCATGCCTTATCCAGCCAGTGAGTTTGTCGCAATACAGAGAGTCAGATTTATCTTTCCTAAAACAAGGCTTCCAACTGGGCCATCTTAGTGTCTTTTTCTTGCTTTTTACTTTTACTATTTTTTTTTTTTTTTTTTTGAGACAGTCTTGCCTTGTCACCAGGTGCCAGGCTGGAGTGCAGTGGCACGATCTCGGCTCACTGCAGCCTCCGCCTCCCAGGTTCAAGCAATTCTCCTGCCTCAGCTTCCCAAGTAGCTGGGACTACAGGCACACGCCACCACGCCCAGCTAATTTTTGTATGTTTTTAGAGATGTGGTTTCACCATGCTGGCCAGGATGGTCTTAATCTCTTGAACTCGTGATTCGCTTGGCCACCTCGGCCTCCCAAAGTGCTGGGATTACAGGCGTGAGCCACGGCGCCGGGTCTACTTTTACTATTATAGATTAAGATGTTTTAAGAGGTGCTTGAATGAAAACTATTCCTTAAAGTGAAATGACACATATTAGAAGAGCGTGGGGAACTGAAAAATTCTGGAATTAAGAAAACTCATTGTTTATTTAGATGTTTTCTTGTGGGAAAATTAAAATAAAAAAACTCACTTTTTTCTAAGAACACTTTTTAAAGTTTTTATGCCTTTCTGTCTCTAAATATACTTCAAAATTAGACTTTTTAAAGAACAAACCAAATTGTACACAGTGTAGTTTTGCTATTAAATTAGAAGTCATTACATTCACAAACTGCATTTTTAAAAATTCAGAATATTAGGCTGGGTGTGGTGGCCCACACCTGTAATCCCAGCACTTTGAGAGGCCAAGGCGGACAGATCACTTGAGGCCAGGAGTTCGAGACCAGCCTGGCCAACATGGCAAAACCCTGTCTCTACTAAAAATACAAAAATTAGCTGGGTGTGGTGGTGGGTGCCTATAATCCCACCTACTCGAGAAGTTGAGGCAGGAGAATCACTTGAACCCAGGAGGCAGAGGTTGCAGTGAGCCGAGATTGTGCTACTGCACTCCAGCCTGGACGACAGAGCAAAACTTTGTCTAAATAAATAAATATATAAATAAATTAAAAATTCAGAATATTTGCATTTTTCCCAAATCTTTTCACAACAGATGAGATTCCCTCCAGAGTTTCTAGGGATTTTGCTTAGACAAAGAAAAATACTTTGTTTTTAATCTGGAAATAATCTTAAATTCATTTCATCCCTTATATATTAGACTAAGTTGATGATAGAAATATTGGTGCTTACAAAGCATAAGAGTCTGCTGGGCAGTATACATAGAATTTCCTTCAGAGGTATTTATTACTTACATAAGAGGCAAATTTTCTGAAGGCCTTATTTTACTTAGCAGTGGTCATTCATTTTATTGTGGAAACACTTTGAATAGGTGTTTGCAGATCTGGTTCTGGCTAGATATGTTGTATTGGATAATTGCCTTGGGGTCTGCCAAGGAAAAAAAAGTTGGAATTCTCAATGGGATGGCTTTTATTTTTATTTTATTATTTTTTCGAGATACAGGCTTGCTCTGTCACCCAGGCTGAAGTACAGTGATGTGATCTTGGCTCACTGCAACCTCCAGTCCCTGGACTGAAGCGATTCTCCTGCCTCAGCCTCCTGAGTAGCTGGGATTACAGTCATGCGCCACCAAGCCCGGCTAATTTTTGTGTTTTTAAGACGGAGTTTCACCATGTTGGCCAGGCTGATCTGGAACTCCTTAGCTCAGGTGATCCCCCTGCCTAGGTCTCCCAAAGTGCTGGGATTATAGGCATGAGCCACCGCATCCAGACTTTTCTTTCTTTTTAAGTTGGAGGACATAAAAGAAAACTGTACGTTCACCTCATATAGAATACAAACTTGATATTTCTGCTTTTGTGGTTCTTCATTCCACAGATTCCATATCTAGCATTTAAGAATTTGTTGTTTCCTTTTTGGTAGGTGAGATGTCCCATCATGATATTTTGGATGCTGCTTCCCAAGGAATAAATGTCATCCTCTGTGAACATAGCAACACTGAAAGAGGCTTTCTTTCTGACCTTCGAGATATGCTGGGCTCTCACTTGGAGAATAAGATAAATATTATCCTATCAGAGACTGACAGGGACCCTCTTCAGGTGGTATAAATGCAGAAACATCAGGATAACACATTCTACAAATCAGTTGGATGCCAACTTGAATTTGTAACATGAGTCAGTGGGACTGGTGTGCCTCCAGAAGAGTGTCTTAGACAGTATCATTATTTTTGGTTTGTTAATCTGATTCACCAAATGTTCTATCACTCATGAGATAAAACTGTAATGTAACTACCACATTAAATAACAAGTATTCATTATAAACTCTAGGAAAGATTGAATAAAATCTGTTTACTTAGCATACTTTAGAAAGAGCTCAAGTAATTCTCTCCTTAGTTTAATTGTAGATGGGATGGATCAATTTTTTCTCTACCCTTGGTTACTTTAACATTATGCTTTGGATATCAACACTTCTTTCTAGGTAGTAGCCTCTTTGCTGTGATAAGGTCTATTTGTCCCTGTTCCTAGTTCCACCTACATTCCAGTCTCTTACCTAAATTTCAGAATCAGAATGAGATTGATTTATCAGGATGTTTTAAAACTATACACAATCATTATTCATATCACTATTACTTTATTGCTTTTTAGATAACTCACCTGTAATTTTTTTTTTCTTCCACAGTCCTTTGTTATAGATTTCTGCTCTGTCACTTTCCTCTCCTGGGGCAATGAACTTGGCTGTAGGCAGAGGGCAGGGCCAGGGAGTGAATTTCCGGAGCAGAAAGAACAAAGTCAGATATCTCAAAATATCATCCTGCCCCATTTAGTCTGGGCCCTTTATCCACGTGGATGCCCTGTTCTAAACAGTGCCTGCTGCTGGTTGGGCAGGGCAGATACCTTTCTCCACCCATGGACTGCCGTTTTCAGGTAATCTGGCTAAAGCAATATTCCCCCCATTTTAGAAATTCTTTGATTGCCTTTATGATTGCACTCTTTTACCATCCCACATAATGTTTACTTCATGCTTTTGTGTAAAGCAGCTTTTTCTCTTATTTTTTATTATAGTAAATTCACATAACATAAAATTCACCATTTTATTTTCCTCCCCAAATTCACCATTTTAAAGTATACAATTCCATAGCTTTTAGTACATTTACAGTGTTGTGGTACCGTTACCACTAGTTCCAAAACATTTTTCATCACCACAAAGGGAAGCCCCATTAAGTAATAATTCCCTCCTCCCATCCCCTGGATACTATTTCTGAGGATTTGTCTATTCTGGATATTTTATAAAAGTGGAATCATAAACGTCCTTTGTGTCTGGCACCTTTCACTTATGTTTTCTCCATTTCTGCTTTTATGTTTGATTTTTTTCCTAGTATTTTGACTCATTTCCTCATATATATATATATATATATATTTTATCTTCTTGACCTGTCTTTAAAGGACATTTTATGTCACATCCATTATAACTTAAATCTTTTGCAGGATTATTAAAATATAAAAGAACAGTGCTCAAAAGGAATGTCATTTTTTTTAGTGTCTTTTTTTTTTTTTGAGTCTCACTCTGTTGCCCAGGTTGGAGTGCAGTGGCATGATCACAGCTCCCAGCAACCTCTGCCCCCCCAAGTTCAAGCAATTCTCCTGCCTCAACATCAACGTCCCTCAGCTGGGATTACAGGTACACACCATTCCCAGCTAATTTTTGTATTTTTAGTAGAGACGGGGTTTCACCATGTTGGCCAGGCGTCTTGAACTCCTGGGCTCAAGTGATACCCACCTCAGCCTCCCAAAGTGCTGGGATAACAGGCGTGAGCCATTGCGCCTGGCCTGAAATGTCATTTTTAAGCTTAGTGTCTAATGACAATATTTTGTGTTGTTTTGCTGATTTAATAAATAAAACCACGTACTGACATGAAATAGTGGTTTAGTAATCCCCTGTCTACCCCTGAAAGCTGAAGGCTGAGGAAGGACATGCACATTCCCTCACAGGCTTCACATGAAAACTTCCCCGTCCTGTAGGACCTACAAGGCTGCCTTGGATGTCCAAATGGACGGTACATTCCAGGTGGAAGGTTGCAGATCATAGGGAATAGTGTCACCACCTTTGTTGTTGTGCATCCACGACACCATGTATAGTGTCTTGTGCACATGTATTGCAGGGTGCTCCATACCAATCTAGATCAGATCCAAATCAGACACTAGAACAGGAAAGGAGTGAAGCTGGCCAGGAGGTGGCAGCAACAGTTCAGCCTGAGGCAAGTGCCGCTGGGCAGAATGAAGGTCAGTGTGGCCAAGTCTTCCTGATCTTTCATGGGGGCACAGGAAATCTGGATTTTTAATATGTGTGGTGTTAAAATATATATACAGGCCTGGTGTGGTGGCTCATGCCTGTAATTCTAGCACTTTGGGAGGCTGAGGTGGGCAGATCACTTGAAGTCAGGAGATCAAGACCAGCCTGGCCAACATGGTCTTGAGCTACTTGTCTCTACTAAAAATACAAAAATTAGCCGGGCGTGGTGGCATGCACCAATAATCCAAGCAACTCGGGAGATGGAGGCAGGAGAATCGCTTAAACCCAGGAGGCACAGGTTTCAGTGAGCTGAGATTGTGCCATTGTACTCTAAGCCTGGGCGACAAAGCAAGACTCCATCTCAAAAAATATATATATTCAAAAGGCTGGTTGTGGTGGCACATGCCTGTAATCCCAGCTACTGGGGAGGCTGAGGCAGGAGAATCACTTGAACCCAGGGGTTGGAGGATGCCGTGAGCCGAGATCACACCATTGCCCTCCAGACTGGGCAATAAGAGTGAAAAATTTGCTTTATTCAACACATAAAGGATGTTATAACTTATGCTATTAAAACCTCAAAGGCTGGGCGAGGTGGCTCACACCTGTTAATCTCAGCACTTTGGGACACCCAAGTGGGTGGATCCCTTGAGCCCAGGAGTTCAAGACCACCCTAGGCAACATGGTGAAACACCGTCTCTACAAAAAAAAAAAAAAAAAAAAAAAAGCCAGGTGTGGTGGTGTGTGCTTCCTTCCTGTAGTACCAGCCACTCAGGAGGATAAGATGGGTGGATCACTTGAGCCCAGCAGGTCGAGACTGCAGCAAGCTGAGATGGCACCACTGTACTCTAGCCTGGGTGACAGAGACCAGAGACCCTGTCTCAAAAATAAAAACTCATAGATATTTCACATTTCACCTTCATATCCTCAGAACTCCTACCTTTTGTGTATTAAGTGTTCAACACTAGACTATTCAGGATTATGCTGGAAGAGTCATTTCACCTCATTCAATGTAAAAAGTACATTCTGAACAATGCCACTGGCTCCACATTTGAATTAGCTGGAACAAAAAGTAAACTTCTGAAGTTAAGTCATTTTGTTTAAAAGTTAGGCAAAATCTATTAATCAGCCCCCAAACTGACTGATCTTTATTTTGAGGCAGGGTCTCACTCTCTCACTCACGAGGCTGGAGTGCAGTGGCATGATCACAGCTCACTGCAGCCTTGGCTTTTTTCTTTTTTTTAGGACTAATTTAACTAATTTAGCAGTCCTTAGACAATAAATTCAGTACTATGGCAAATTTATAAACAGTAAATGTTTGATATCTCCTGTGCCTTTTTTTTTTTTTTTTTTTTTTTTTTTTTTTTATTAAGAGTACCCAGAAAATCTTTCAAGGTTTCAGTAGGTCTGTTCAATCTCGCCAGAAGCAAGTTAACACAGTAGAAGAAATTAGAGCCTCAGCAGTCAAGACATAACTGCTAGAGCCTCAGAGAAACTGATGCTGATACAAGTCAGCAAACAGCATACAGTAATGTGCCAAGATCTTCACCAGATCTGAGATGCACTCATAAAGTTTCTTTTGAAGAACTTAAAAATATTTTTAGTAAAAAACCAGCACTACAAATTTACAAAGTGATTCTATCCAAATTGGCTTTTTATTTATTAATAATAAAGTCTACTGACACATACTGCTTGCAAATAGTATAGACACAAAAATTATAAAAATAAACCAGTAGATATTTAGGGCAGATGCAAAAATTTGCACATTAGGTTATTATAAGCTAGATGTATTAAGCAAAAAAAGCAAAGTGCAAACCAGTAAGTATATTACCAATTGTGTGGTTTTTGTTTTGTTTTCTTTTTACTAACAGTCTTGGCTTAAACCAATTGTGTTTTTAAAAGGAGAGAGACAGATACTTTTACATATGCATAGATTATCTCAGGCAGAATAATTAAAAAAATGCTATCAGTGGTTGCATAAAGAACTGGGGTATCAGGAAATAGGCAGGAAACCCACTTTCACTGAATATCCTTTGGCAGTATTAAAAAAATTTTTAATCACATTCATGTACAAATTTGAACATTTTGACTGGAGGTTATATTTAAGACTAAGCCCTTGGCTGGGTGTGGTAGCTCATGCCTGTAATCCCAGCACTTTGGGAGGCTGAGGTGGGTGGATCACTTGAGGTCAGGAATTCGAGACCAGCCTGACCAACATGGCGAAACCCCCACCTCTACTAAAAATACGAAAATAAGCCAGGCATGGTGGTGTGTGCCTGTAGTCCCAGCTCAGGAGGCTGAGGCACGAGAGTCATTTGAACCTGGGAGGCAGAGGTTGCAGTGAGCTTAGATCATGCCATTGCACTACAGTCTGGGTGACAGAGCGATTCAGTCTCAAAAAAAATTTAAAAAGACTAAGCTCATGGACTTAAAATTATTTTTTTTTAAAGTTTTTTTTTTTTTTTAATAAGAGACAAGGTCTTGCTCTGCATCCAGACTGTAGTGCAGTGGCACAATCATAGCTTACTGTAATCTTGAACTCCTAGGCTCAAGCAATCCTCATGCCTCAGCCTCCACAGCAGCTAGGACTATAGGCATGTCATGAGCCACTATGCCTGGATGATTTTTTAAATTTTTTGTAGAGACAGGGTCTCACTATGTTGCCCAGGCTATTCTTAAACTCCTGGGCTCCAGAAATCTTCCTGCCTTGGCCTTCCAAAGCATTGGGATTAGGCATAAGCCATTGTGCCTGACCAAAATTACTTAATTATATACCACAAGAAAATTATTTAATATTTTCAAGCATTTTTGGAAATATTTTCACGAAAGAGGTTTACAAGATAAGAAATGAGTGAGAAATGCTGATGCAGTACATATTTTATTGCAGTGATATTTTCAGGAAGAACTTCATTTCCAAGTGTCAAATATTTCAGGGGGTATGTGACGACTGTAAGCTGACGACAGTAGCCAAGGTTAGTTAGCCTTTTTTTTCTTTCCTAAGAAAAAAGTCTCCTGCAAATATTTAGGAGACTTGAGATCATCACTTTAAGGAAAAAACTGAAATATCTTACA